TCCAGAGAAGAATTTTATCTTGATATTTCAGTTACACCAAGTTTGTTGGCTTTGGCAGAGCCACCTAGATAATTGTCCTGTTATCTGCTAAGCTCTTCCATTCAGTCATGGATCACGGAAATGTTTGGGAAAAAATAGCTTTGCACACACTTGAACATGAGTCACAAATGAAAAGCTCCCCCCTTTTTTTTCTAAGTTGGAAAGAGACTGTAGGTCATTAAGTACTGACTTCCCATCCATTTGGGGGTCCTTCCTAGAATACAGTAACAGAGGGTCACAGTATACTTTTTTTTTTTAAGATTTACTTATGTTATATGTATGTGAGTTTTGTGTGCATCTGCATGCCTAGTTCCATCAGAGGTCAGAAATCCCCTGGAATTTCTAGAATTATGAATGATTGTAAGCACCGTGTGGGTGCTGGGAATTGAACTCAGGTCCTCTGCAAGAACAGCAAGTGCTCTTAATCACACATTATACTCCTAAGGAAAGCATCCGGTGTCCATTGCCAGAGACTTTTATGTGTATGCAAGCACAGAGTTTGTGTTTGCGCAGCAAGTCCTTTCTTCTCCTCACACTCTACCCCCAACACTTCCCTCACTCGGAGGAAATATGGTACTTGAAGTCTTAGCCAGAGCAATAAGATAAGACAGGAAAATAAATGAGATACACACAGGACGAAAAATCAGTTTCCTTATTTGCAGCTGATATAATTGATACGTAGAGACTCCGAGAACTCCACTGGAAAACTCAGAGTTGATAGTCACTTCCATCAAAATAACAGGATGCAAAATTCACATGCAAAAGGTAGCCTTTCTACATACCAATAACAAATGTCCTGAGAAAGGAAACAGCCACATGCACAATTACCTCAAGAAATACCTTGGAACAAACCTAACCAAGGAAGTGGAAGAGCTCTACAATGAAAACTTTGAAACACTAAAAAAAAGATAGGAAAACCCCCGTGCTCATGGATTGGAAAATTTAATATTGTGAAAACAACTGCACTACCAGAAGCAATCTACAAATTCAGTTCAATCCCTGTCAAAATTCCAACGTCATTTTTCATGGAAATAGAAAGGAAAATTTTTCAATTCATACGGAAGCTCAAAAGACCCCAGGTAGACAAAGCAATCCTGAGAAAGAAGAACAATGACAAGTTGATTCATAGTGTATTCCAGGGACTACAGAGCTGAAGTAGCAAAACAGCAAGGGACTGGCCTAGAAACAGCCACCCAGATCAGTCACACAGAATCTAGATGTAAATGCATGCAGTTACAGCTGCCTGGATCTGGCAAGATTTTAAGGATATACAACAGAGAAAAAAGAGTCTTCTCAACAGATGATGGTAGAATAATGAAGCTAGAGCCTTATCGCTTGCCGTACACAACAATCAACTCCAAGTGGCTCCAAGGCCCTAGCATAAGCACCCCCAAACTCTGAAACCAGTAGGGAGAACATTCCCAGGTGTTAGCACTGGGGCTGGAGAGGTGCTTGGTGGGTAAGAGTGCTTGCTGCTCTTCTGGAGGATGGGGGTTCGGTTCCCAGCTCCCATGTTTGGCTGCTCATAGCTGCCTGTGTGGCTCCAGGGGCTCTCACACCTCTTTGGCCTCCTCAGGCATCTGCACACAGGTGTGCCCACACACACATGTAAATAAAAAATCTTTAAAAATTATAATGGCACTGGCAGGAACTTTCTGGATAGGACTCATAAGGCAGTTAACAAATGTGATTTCATGAAATGAAAAAAAAAAAAGACATCTGCAAAGCAAAGGAAACAACAGAGTGAAGATACGGCGAGATGGAAGAAAATCTTTGTGATCTGACAGAGAATTAATATGTAGAATGTACAAAGAAATAAAAAATACCAAATGAACCAAATAATAAATGGGCTAATGAACAGACGGTTACCAAAAGAGAAAATACAAATGGCCGATAAACATGAAAAATTGTTCAGCTGGCTGTCAGAGAAACGCCAATAAAAACTACTGCTATTGAGATCCCATCTCCCCACAATCAGAATAGCAGTCATTAAAACAGCATCAGACAGTGGTGTGGATGAGAACAGAAGAGAGCCCATATGTGCTGCTAGAGGGTTGTGAACTAGCCAAGTCACTGTGGAAATCAGTGTGGGGTTTCCTCAAAAGACAACAAAACAAAACAAAACAAACAAACAAAAAAAACCCAAAAAGTAGACACACCGTGTGACCCAACTATGTACTGCTTAAAAGACTGCAGCCAACATAGGACAGAGACAATGACACATCAGTGTTTGTTCCAGCACTTCTCCATAACTCAGCTGTGGTACCTAAGTATCCGCCAGTACAGCAATGGATACAGAAGATGCAGAACCTACACAGAATGGATTGTTTTCAGCCCTGAAGAAGAAGAAATTGTCACTTGAAGGAAATGAATGATGGAGACTATCGTGCTAAGCAAACGAAGTCTTGCTCAGAATGACAGATCCCAATGTTTTCTCTCACTTGCGGGTCCTAGGCATTATAGATAGGGAAATTCAGAGAACTAAAGACAGCAGGGAGAGCCAGGAAGGGGAGGTTAGCGAGATGTGGGAGGGGGAAGTGTTCTGTTCAAAGTCCCTTATACAGTTTCAGGTACATACTTGCCTTGCAGAACCAAGTGAAGAAAACAAAAGTAATTTTGTTGGAAAGATGCCGTAGTCTGTAGGATGCTTGGTGTATCAGCATGAGGACCTGACTTCCCTTCTCAGCCTCCGTGTAAAAAGCTGGTTGTGATGGCTCATGCATATAATCCAGGACTGGAGAGGCAGACAGACAGCCCTGGGGTTTTGTGCCCAGGCAAGCTAGGCTAATTAGAGAGCCCCAAGCTCCATTGAGGAAGTCTGGCTCAAAAAGATAAATAAAATTAAAAAATAAACTAAGAGGATGGTGCCTGAAGAATAATACCCAGGGTTGATGTTGGATGTACACACACACACACACACACACACACACACACACACACACACACAGAGAGAGAGAGAGAGAGAGAGAGAGAGAGAGAGACTGTAAACACTTAGTAAGTGTAAAGCTCCCGAAAAGGAATGATAACTATCCAAGGTGATATTCCACCAGTTACTCCCATCCGATCATCACACACTATAGCTGCCTGTCGAAATGTTGCATTGTAACCCCAAAGTTACATGTGCAATTACTATGTATCAATTTAAAAAAAAATTAATGTAAGGAAAAACAGCATGCTTCTGTCTCCCTTGTACCTCTGCTACTTTGTCTTTCATTCCAAGTAAATCAGGTCTCCTCCCATAATGAGCTTTCCAAAGTGACTGAACAAGGCCAAACATGAAGACTTTAACACCCGTGAAAATCCCAGTGGCTGGCCGCCTCCTTCCAGTACTGAGTCCTTGCGGCCTGCATTCTATCTAAGGTCTCTAGCAACAGTTTTTTCTCAGCATCGTTTGTGTAAGTGCAGGTTTGTTTTGGTGTTTCTGTGTTTTCTGTACAGGTTTTCCCTCCTGGGATGCATGTCCAAGTTGTATGCTTTAACACAAAACTAGACCTAGCCATGTGTCTGTGCCTTTGCCTGAGGGGTGCAGCTGTCAGGCCACATCCTGGTACACACAGGCACATCCCCCTGCTTTGAAACTTTGAACCTGCCCAATTTTGCTTTGTGACTTTATGTAAGCCCTCGGCCATTTCTGCTAAGCTAAAGCTTTATAATTTCATGGTGTAGCCTCTCTCCAAGCACATTCTGGTGTCCTCAAGTTCACACCCCTATAAAGAAACAACCCCCAAACCCTAAAGTGCTGTTCTCAAAATGTTTCAGCAACTTTTAAGTGAATTGAAAGTTAAGCCTCCTACACCCAGGCTTGACAGACACTGCCTGGGAGGCACATGCAGGCAAATGCATGGCTCGTTCCATCCGAGAGTGCTGAGCTAGACATCTGCTCCCGATCTAAAATAACCCGTGACCTTCAGCCCGTCACCAAACTACTCCAACTTACATTTTCCTCATCCAAAACCAGACGCATCAGCCATGTTCCGAGGTGGTAGCAGTGCTGTGTAGACAGACAGTGCTGTGTAGACAGTGCTGTGTAGACCTGTTTTGGGTTGTATGGCAAACAATACCACAATTGTCTATAGGTATTTTGATTGAAGGTTCAAAAAATGTAATAGAAAAATAAAATTTTATTAGTGATTCTGGGTATTTCAAACTCTGGGTTCCAAAAACACTGTCACTGGGTCTCCGTGAACCGAATCTAAGTATGTGTGTCACATTGTGGAGAAACAGTATCATGATTTCTGGCAGGCTCCGCTGTGTTCTCACACTTCAGAGCGAGTCCTTTTAAGTGGGTATTGTTTGTGGAGAAATAACATTACTTTGGATCCCTTATGTAGTCTTGGGGTAGAAGGATAAAGGAGTTGAAAGTAAGGGAGATACTTTTGTTGTGTTTTAGTCTCCACCCCTGAAGTGTGGGGAATGCCTCCAACAGCTAACCCTGAGCACATGACAGCAGGGCACATTAGTGGACCTTTGGGACCTGATCCTGAAGGGACTGCCCTCAAGGATCACTTTTCCTTGGGAAGCCTGGGGTACTTGTAGCCAAGCCTGCAAAGTTCATCTTCAAGCTCCTAGCTCCCCCCCAACCCCCATATTTCTGGAGACATGCCAAAGGCTTCCAAGTGGACCTGGGGGAGGGGCCTTAAAATGATTGTGCTTTCTGTTCAAGGCAGAAAGCCTTGTTACATCTACTTTTTACTCAAAACTGTGTGTTTGAGGGCACTGAAGCAAGGATGTGTCTATATTTTCGGCATCCACAGTCTCGTGACAGTGCTGTAATTATGATTGTTTTGTTCTTTATTGTTTTACCAGAAATAGAAACACAGTTGATCTTGCAAAGAAATCTGTTTCTCTCCCTCCCTGTCCTTCGATTTTCCCCTTCTTACTTTCCTTTTCCCTTTCGTTCCCTTCCTGGTCCTTTCCCCCTCATTCTCCTTCCTGGCCCCTCACATGGTCTCTTAGTGATCATCCCAGCCAGCCAGATGACTGCCGTGTGTGTTCTCTTCCTCTCCCAGGGTGTCCTCTCCAACATCTCGTCCATCACTGACCTTGGGGGCTTTGACCCTGTGTGGCTCTTCCTCGTGGTAGGAGGAGTGATGTTCATTCTGGGGTTCGCAGGGTGCATTGGAGCACTTCGGGAAAACACCTTCCTTCTCAAGTTCGTAAGTATTGCCAACTCTGCTCTTGGTCTGAGATCCAGGCTCTTACACCAAGATGACACTCTTAAATACAGGCAAGATAGCAAGTGCACCAAAGGCCTAGGCAAAAAAGAAAGAAAGAAAAGAAAAAAAGGCCCATTTTTATTTCAGGAGGGCTCTCCAATTGTGTGTTGTCCCTCCTCCCCTCGCCCCTGCACTAGACATTCGTCTTTGGCCGTCTAAGTACCACCCAGCCTTGCCATGCAAGGAGGCTTTGTACATATGCAACATACTTGTCTCCAGTCCCTGAAGAAGCCTTAGGAACGCGTGGGACATGTGATAGTGTGTTCTGTATGTGTGAGGGCGCACACACGTTGCTGGTGCAGGTCGCCTGTCGAGCTTGTGTAGTTTGGATGAACAAGGTGGAAATCCTCCTTTGTATGAGCAGCACCTTTTAACTCCTTTCCAGTGTGTGACTACTGTATTTGTAGAGGAGGGACTTTAGCAGGAGGGATGTAAGTATTTGGGGCTAAGGAGAGAATGAACGACGAAGGCCTTCCCTCCCTTTGGTGCCCCTCTCCAATGGCATATATAACATACTTGTATCTTAAGTAAGAATGGCAAATGTGGCCATTCTTACAAACAGAACTACAGCTTCCTTGTTGAGCGATGCCCTCAAATGTAACTTCAAGCATGTCTTGTTTCTACCAGATATTTGGTATGGATTGAATATGGCCTCCTTGTGTGTGGGGGTTAGCGTTCTAGAGATTTCTGTGGGAAAAGGCGTTACTCTCTTTTCCAAAGACAGAGGAAAGCTCGGAAGGATCCCATCTTCCTGTGATGAGGGAGGACTCAGAAATTTCCAGAAAACAGCTTTGTGTGATACTTCCTGTTGTAGCCATTCACAGCCCCTACTGACACATCTTCTAGGGTCATTTTCACTTAAAACCAGAGCTTGTCCTAGAACTAGTCTGAATAGCCATATAGCATGTCTGCTGGACCGATCACTGACCTCTCTTCTTAAAAGTCTCGAAGAGGAGAGTCGCTGTTCCAGTCCCAGGGTTTGAACTGGGGCAGCTTCTGCTCCCTGAGAGTCTCGGGAGGTGTTCCCCTGAATCTTTTCATGTGGCTCCCCCCAAAAGGGAAGACCTGGGTCTCAGACATAGTTTAATGAGGAGCTAGCTCCCCTTTTCCAGGTGCCTGGTGGGAGTGGCTCGTTTCCCATGGTTCTAGCTGCCTTATCTTCCAGATTGACCCTGTTCTACACGGACACACACAGAGGCTTTCATGACCACCCCCACTTTCCCACCCCTGCAGCTTTCTTCACTGAGTCAAGAACCTATGGAGTTCCTCCATGGGGTGTTTGTCCTGATCATGACCTGCCCGTCTTCTTGGTATTAGGCATCTCTAAGTGCCAGCATGGCTCCACTCAGCTTTCCTGTAACCTGTGATCTGCTCCACGACTTAACCATTGAAACCTCCATGTTCCCAAGTGGGGTCCCTTTCATGTGGTGTCCTTGAACATGGCTTTATTTATTATAGCAATTCACTTCCTAAAGTCTCATATCAGATGTGAAAAGAGTGGTGTTCTTAGCTTTCCATCTTGGAGAACATTTAAATGGCCTCTCTTTATTTAGTACAACAGTAGAAACTGGCCTTGAACTTTCTCTGAGCAGGAGCCATAGGTAAGTAGAATTAATATCACCATGCCTCCAGACAACCTCAAAGATCACATTGCCCCAACACTAGGAAAATTGCTGGGGGAAATCCGAGAGGTACGACTGTGAATAGAAGTGGTATTTCTAGGCTGACCAGTGCCCTCAAATTAAGTTTCCAGTCACTTTCTGCACCTTTGGGAAGGGGGGAGTTAGCTCACAGAGCCGGGCATGTGGGTCTCTGCCAAATATTTGAAAGGGATTGAATTTGGACTCAATATTTGATGTGTATATTATATAACTTGGAAGTATTTTCCAAGGCAACTGGAAAGTGAATTTTCCTAACCTTTGTGGTGGTAAGAACAGAAATCCAAAGTCTTTGTGTGACTGTCGGACTGTTTCACACACATGCATGCCAGTTTGAGTTTTATTCTTTCTGTGGTGTGAGGCCTATATATGTCCATGTTTGGGGTGGTACCGTGTACAGGGAAGGGGGCTGTTTTATATGAAGAGGAAGGCAGGGAGCAAAAAACGCTAGTTTTTTCTTTTCTAAGGAAAACTCAGTTTGAAGTTATTGGTGGCACTGATAATTAAGAACTTTCCATTTTACTTCCAGAGAACTCACTGAAGACAGATCTAGATAAGCAGCAGCTCAGTGAGAGCCTGGAAGGCTGAGCTGAAGGGCCTGCAAGTGGAGCCTGTGCCTTGGCATCTTAGACTTTGTCAGGCACTGGTTTTGTTCTTCTGGCCCCCTTGCCTCACTCCCACAAAGACACACACACGTCACTCCATTCATGAAGAGAATGGCCACACCCCACCGTCCCCAAGTTTCGCCTCACAAACCCTTTGAGGAGGGTAAAGATGCAGCAGGAGGGAGGTGTGGAAAGGCCGTGGGCGCAGCGGCAGTCAGGATGACTAAGATGATACTCTGAAGCATAGGTGGAAGAGAAATTTCCCCAGGGTCCTGAGCCGTTACCCCAGGCCTCATGCTTTCTAACCTTATACCTTGCTATCTACCAGCCGTAGCCAGAAGTCTCCCTTTGATTGCATGGTGGTGTTATTTACAGAGTTTCCTGAGGGTGCTGCTTCCCAGACTAGAAAGCCCTTAGCCCACGGTTTCGTCATCACCACTGGAAATTGTTTTCATGTCACAGCCATGCCTCCTCCTCCTTCCTCTCTGGCCTCTTGAAGATGAAGAGATCTATTTCACACTGTATGGGAGACGCAAGGAGGAATTAAAACCTCAAATCTAGAACAGAAGTGCAGGTGGAATCCAGCCATGGGGGCAGATGACAGGCGATCGTAAAACATGGGATAATCTACCTTTCAAGTTAGGAAAAAGGCTTCCTAGAGGTCGGGCAGAACATTGTTCTTATGTCTGGCAGTACATTAGTCACAGGCAATTCATTAGGCCTTAATGTGGGGCTAATGAGAAATTCCTATTACTCATGTTTGATTTGGGCTTTGTTGGTTAATTATCAAATGGAACCCCAGAGACTCCAAAATGTGATTATGAAGTGATCTTTAATTTTTAGAAGTCCTTTTTTTGAAGTATAATATTCCATTAATAAACTTGAAGAAACAGAAGGCTGCAGTTTGGAGATGTGTCCCAGTTGAATGTAATTACAGCCCTTTTTTGGGGGGCGGGGGCTGCTAACTCCACATAATCTAACCCTTGTGACCATTCTCTGTTGTATGTTTCTTTTGTCGTAGTTTTCTGTGTTCCTGGGGATTATTTTCTTCTTGGAGCTCACTGCTGGGGTGTTGGCGTTTGTTTTCAAAGACTGGATTAAAGACCAGCTGTATTTCTTTATTAACAACAACATCAGGGCTTACAGAGATGACATTGATTTGCAGAACCTCATAGACTTCACCCAGGAATATGTAAGTTCAAACCTCCTTTCCTTCCCAGTGGAAACAGCTTCTCACAGGGGGAACTCCCACAATGCCTTGTGTTTCTTTGCCCGCTGGAGACATCCAGCCAACTTTTCTGCCTAGCATCCGGTTGTTTGTATACTTGTTTGTTTGTTTCCTAGTTCCATGGTTTACATTTGTATCCTAAACAGGAATGTTCTGCTTCCACTTGTTTCAACTTGCATTAAGTTAGAGGAAGGAAGACATAACGCTTAAGCAAAAACGTGATCACTGTGGTTGTACCCGTGTCAGCCCCTGGAGAAAATTGTTTTTCTGTATATTTGAAGTTCTGTTTGATTAAATATGAATTTGCCATGTTCCTTCCCCTAGAGCCCACAATAATTAACAGGATATTTGTTCATGAAGTTGCTCAAATGTGGGGCTGGAGAGATGGCTCAGAGGTTAAGAGCACTGACTGCTCTTCCAGAGGACCTGAATGCAATTCACAGCAACCACATGGGAACTCACAACCATCTATAGTGAGATTCGGTGCCCTCTTCTGGCGTGTAGGCAGAATACTGTATACATATAAGTAAATAAAAAAAAAAAAAAAAAAGCTGCTCAAATGTGCTCATCCAGCTACCTCATGTGTACAGTCCAAAACAAAAGTTAGAGACTTGTAAGCCTGCCGACTTCTAACAAGGAATAAGCCAACCCCTGCCTGCCACACAGGTGTCTGAACACGACTAAGGGATTGCTCCTGTCCTGCCAACACAACAGGCAACTGTCATGCCACTCAAAATGCAAAGTGGCACAGACAGGGAGCCGAGAGACACAGCCTCATTATTTTGAACTGACAGAAACTTGAACTCTTTCCCGGATAGTAAAAGAGAGTGAAAATGAGCTATTGTCTAATTCCTGTGGCTATCCGGACACTCTCATGATGTGCATGGTCTCACAGTAGGACCAAATGCTGCTGGCCTGCAGATTAGCAGGCACTCACTCCTGCACTGGAAAAGTAGGAGTGGCCAAGCAGACTAGGTCAGTGATGTCCATGGCATTAATGTTTAGAGCAAGATCGGGCCCACGGAGAAGCTCAGTTGGGAAGGTTGATCTGGATAACATTTACCTGGAGTGGAGAAGGCCATGCTGAATCAGCATTGTGGGGGTGTTGAGGAAGGCCACCCTTCTCAGGGTGCTCAGCACTCTCTTGGGGGTCTTGGTTTCTCCTCAGTGGCTGCAGAGCAGCTGCAAGCTGCCTTCAGGTGTGAAATGAAGCCCTGTCCACAGCCCTCCAGGTGCTGCTAGGTTAGGTCTTAATGGATGTGAGCTCACTGCTTCCTGGCTAGTCTCCCTGAGTAGTTTGCATGACAGAGCTCATTGGACCTATGGGGCCCAAGCCCAGAGGAGGAGCAGGGCCTGCCAAGCATGTGTTCACTCGTGTTCCTGACATGACGCCTGCTCTTCTCAGAACTTCTGTTCTGGAGTTAAATGTTTTGACATGACTGTCGGTCCTGAAAGCCTTAAAATGGCCAGGGGTTGGTTTTAGATTAATGTAAGCAGCCAGGGTAACCCAGCACAGGGAAGTGGTGGATAGTTTGTATGGTAGCATAATCAGTCCCCATTTAACAGCCACTGAATTATACATCTTCTTTTATTTTTTAATTAGCTGAATGACTTTGTAAAGTTGAAAATATAAAAATATGTTCTTTAAAAAAAAAGCAGTCTGTCGATAGGGCTCAGAGTTAAAAGCACCGGGTGCTCTTCCAGAGGACCTGGGTTCAATTCCCAGCACCCACGTGGTAGCTCACTCCTGATTGTAATTCCAGTCTCAGGGCTTCTGGCACCCTCACACCGTCATACATACAGGCACACACCAATGAATATATAATAATAAAGATTAAGTTATGAAAAAATAAATTCAGTGTAGACAAAGATAATGAAAAATTAATCTGAGAAGATTGTACAGAAGTGGGTTTTGTTCACTCTGGCTTTTTGTTGGTTTGTTTTTGTGGCTGTGGGGACTGGACCCAGGACCTCACAGTGTTTGATCACTGTAGCACTGACCATCAGCCCTGATGTTCACTGTCTTGTGAAGTGGTAACAGCTCTAAGTGTTAGCCACATATCAGAACTGACCCAAGTGTCTGTTGCTCATCTGATGCCACTTACACTCAATAAAACCGCTTAAGAACCATTAAAATAAGATCAGATCCTCAAGCACAGCCATGGTTGCCTCATTAGATGTTGCCGTTCTTGTTAGTGCTTTATTTTTCCTTCTAGAATGTTCTTGTGTATGCCTCTAGGACATGACCAAGCCAAATAGATCTCCTCAAGCCCTGCTCTACTGTGCACCACCCTTCCCCATGTAAAGACCAGTGCCAACCCATCTGTAGACCCATCAGCCTTAACTACTCTGCAAGGCTTTACTGGGCCATTTACGTTAATTTCAACTTACATTTCGAGGTGCTGGGCCTGGCAGGGGATGGGTGTCATGTGTGTGGCGGGCAGGTGGCTGGTCACCTCTGAGCCTAGACGATCTTCTAACTCTCTCCTGTTTGCTCTAGTGGCAGTGCTGTGGGGCTTTTGGAGCTGATGATTGGAACCTAAATATTTACTTCAATTGCACAGATTCCAATGCAAGCCGAGAGCGATGCGGTGTGCCATTCTCCTGCTGCACTAAAGACCCTGCGGTAAGAGCAACAAGCTCACTGCTGGCAGCTGTGCCCTGTGCGCACTATGGGTGTGTCGGAGTGATTTTGTCTTAAAATCTCTCCTCACAAGTTCATGCCTACGTGGGGGTGCTGTGCCTCAGTCTTCCCAGACAAGACAGGATGGCTGGTATTCATTTAGCAAGTGTGTGTGTGTGTGTGTGTGTGTGTGTGTGTGTCGGCTCATGGGAGGTCAGAAAAGGAGGTCCCCTTCTCCAGTGAAAAGAAACCACGGCATGTGGAGTACCATGATTTCTCCCAAATCACAGTAATGACAGGTGACAGTTGGGTACCAGACCCAGGCAGCCTGCCTATGTCACTTGTCCCTCCTTTATGAGAACGTGGGGCTCACAGGTGATCAATCTGCAGTAGCTTGGGTTTACTAACCCTTTTCCTCTCGTATGAGTCCTGGGAAGGGAGTTAGGAGCAAGAGGTGAGATTGAGACATGACAAGGTAGGAATGCTGCTTAGGGAGCCACAGTGGCCCAGGGTTGACATAAGGTTGGCAATAGCAACTGCCATTTGTGTTTTACTTTAAAAAGAAAATGTACAGTCTACTCACAAGCCACTCCTGTTTAGTACATGTCATACTATGTGCAAGGTTTGTAGAATGAAGGAAAAAAAGAGAGAGAACCTTCTATATTGTAAGCGAAAAGCCAGAACTGAGGGTAGTATGACCCATGTGAGGAGTGGCTACTGCCCTTCTTGGACAGCCTGTCCTTGCCCACAGTGGAGCACAGCAGGTGCAGACTCTCCACAGGCTCCCTGTCTTGCAAGGTTGGACGCTGTGGGACTCCTTCACAGAGGCGAGCGTTTTTTAGAGTCGGAGGGCAGATGAGCCTGTGCTGAGCATCGCTAAGAACTATGCCACCTGCCTGTGATCCCATTCCAGTCATCTTGTCTTCCTCCTCTGAGGCAGGTCAGGTGGCAGCAGGATGCCCAGCTCGAAGTCTGTCGTACCCACTCAGGCAGCTGGTCATGGCCTGCCAGCATGCTCTACCTCTGTCCCTGAGAAAATCAGAAGAGTCTCCAGGAGGCACTAGGCAGCTGCAGATCCCTCCTTTGGCCTGTCTTACACCATGAGCTCCGAGCTGATGAGATCCATCACTGACCCCCAGAGGGGAGGAAGCAGCTAACCCACAGTATTTCCAACCAGATCCTGGAGATGTCAGGCCACCTATTTGACACATGGCCAGGCAGTGTTTTGCTTTGTAATTAGTAACATAATGCTTTTTAATTAAAACAGAAAAACTTTAAGTGACAGAATTTTATAGATTGAAAAGGACAAGCACATATCTGGCATGCATGAGACCCTAGATCTACTCTCTAGCAATATTTTTTTTTTAAGTAGAAATTCCCAAAGAGCTTGAAGATGGCCATTTTGTCCTTTACATTTGTTCCTTGCCTGTGTCTCCACTGTCCCCAACCCTTGGAGCTCTCTGAGGTTGGCAGTATTTTGAATCCTGTTCCTTCTCCTACCCCCGGCATAATGGACCTGCTAGAGGCTTTGTTTTCCCATTTCTAAGGTGGAGAAGTTTTTACTACATCCTTCTGAAACTGCTCTCCTAAGTGCATGGCATTTAATGAACATGGCGTGTTGAACCCTGTGCCCTCATTGGGTTTCACGACTGATACCGCAGGGGCTCCTGTTCATGATCAGATGGGCTTTCTGTTGAACAAGAATGAGTCCCACTTTTCTCTTCCTTTCTTCCCCAGGAAGATGTCATCAACACTCAGTGTGGCTATGATGCCAGGCAAAAACCAGTAAGTGGAAGCTGCCCTTGTGGCTTAACACACAGCGTGTTTGGAGGAACGGTTGCACATGCACAGGGCTGTATCTGTGACACTCTGCTCTCTTCCCTTGTAAAGGAAGTTGACCAACAGATTGTAATCTACACTAAAGGCTGTGTGCCCCAGTTTGAGAAGTGGCTACAGGACAATTTAACCATCGTGGCTGGTATTTTCATAGGCATTGCTTTGCTGCAGGTAAGATGTGGGTCCTGGGTGGTATAGCTCAGACAGTGGTGCCCAGAGACACCTCCCCAGGACAGGGCCTTTGCCTAGTGCCATAACTTCTGAGATACCAGAGGTCCTGGGAACACACTGGAGCTATTAGATTTGGTTTATTGAAGGAGGTCCGACTCTAGATCTGCAAACATGTTAAGAGGCATGCTTTTCACCAGCCGGAGGTTGATAGGGTCACTGGCACCCATCCCTTATTCCCATGGGCGTGGAGGACTGCATTGTGACAGCTGGGGTAGACTTGGCTGCTCAGAGTGGCTCTCAGGAGCAAGGTTAAGGCTCTGTGGAGTTGCAGAAGTATGGCTGTGTCTTCTGTCTCTCTGGACCAGTTTGCCAGAGGGCCAGTGAGGGCAGTCTCAGGAGCTGACTCTTCTCTTGATGTGATGGTTTCTGTGCTGGATCACAAATGGCCACAGAGTAGAAGGAAATTTTAAAAAGTCTTGAGTAAATAGGCATCCTGGGTTCACGGATCATAAAACTCAGTATTGTTCAAGTGGCATCACTATTCACGATGATCTCAAGATTCTGTGTAGTCCGTATCTCAGGTCCAAACTCCTCATTCACCGTCATGGACAAGCTGGGCCTGAAATCACACGGAGAAACAAGAAACCAGAATAGCCCAACAAAGTAAAAAAAGAACAGAAGATGAAGGTTGCATGTTACCTAATTAAAACTTACTGCAAAGTAGCAAGATTCAAGATAGTCTGTGTTCTTGTAAGGTTGGCCAATTATAGACAAATGGGGTTAAATTCCGGACACATCTGTGAGCTTTGCTTTGGTAAGGGAGTTGAAACTATTTAGTGGGGAATGGGGAAAGGTTTTCAGGGATGGAAAAATGGCTCAGTGGTTAAGAGCACTGAATGCTCTTCCAAAGGACCAGGATTCAATTTCCAGCCTCCACATAATAGCTAACAGTGGTCTTCCACTAGTTTTAAGGGATCTGATGCCTTTTCTAGCCTCCATACACACTGTATGGATGTGGTATTCGGGCATGCATGTAAGCAAAACACCTATACACGTTAAAAAAATTTTTTTTCACCAAATGGGTTAGGAAGACTGATTTTCTATCTGGAAAAGACTGACTTTTAGATAGCTGTCTCATATATGTAACATTCAGTTAAAATAGACCAAAGACTCAAATATAAGTGTGGTATACTGTATGTCTGTAATGTAAGCTATTAAGAAAAGATTGAAGCAGGATGTTCTCATAAGACCACACCACCAGCCCGGCCTGATCAGACCCTAGTGTAAAAAACAAATGAACAAAACTCTCCATATAAAGCCAAAGCTGTGAAACTCTTGAAGAAAACAAGGTGTAAATTGGTTATTTTCACCCTGGACAGTTACCTTATAAGAGCAATGATGGCAAAAATATAACCACCAAGTAAAACACAGATAATGGGACTTCATCAAACTATGGAACTTCTACTGAAAATGATGCCATTTGTGGTTACTCACAGAATAGCAGAAAATATTTGCGAGTCCTTACCTGAAAGGAACCTTGATATCCACATTTCTGGAGGGAGGGAACAGAAATGGCTCAGCGCTTTGGAAAATAAGTATACGATTACTGTGTGACCCTACAATTTTCCATGAATGCAAGCAAAAGGAGTGAAAAGTTACATTTACACACACATGTTCAGAGCAGCAAGCACTGGAAACAATGGCGACATCATCAGTGGATTTTAAAGACTTTGGTATGTACTGACAATAGGGTTAGTACTCAGCCGTCCAAAAGGAATGAACTGGCAGGTGTGGTGAAGCACGCCTGTTATCTCAGCCCTAGGGATAGCAGCTTAGACTATACAGGAAGACCCTGTCTCAAGAGCAGAGCAAAACAAATAGACTGAATGGCTGGACATTTCTTTGCAAGAGTCACCAGTTTCTTTCTTCAGCGGCTTTTGTATAGAACCCAGTACTTTCTGCCCCTCACCACCACACACACTCAACCATCTGAGTCAGCCCCCCTCAGCCACATCTTCTCAGTGCCCTGGGAGTACCCCAGGGTCGCACCATCCCTACCTCTGGGTCTTCTCAGCCCACCCTGTGCCCCTGCTCAGCGCTGTTACCCACCCAGTCAGCCTGGAGCTCTACCTCCTGTGTTCCCTGCCTCCTGCTGTGACCTCCTTAGTGGGGATTGACACTCTTATGAGGTGAGACAGGAGGAAGCTGAGGAGCCGATGACATCACCTTCCCAGTGGAGTGGTGGGATCTTCTTCAGAATGTTGCAAACCTGACCTCAGCAGGGAGAGCTGGGCGGGTGCTGCAGGCGGTGCACGGGTCAGTCAGAGGGGCTGATCATCAACAAAACTGTTCCCTGTGTGTGTGTGTGTGACATTGAGGGTTATTACCTGTAAGAGCAGGTGAAACCCATAGATGGATGGATTGGGTGGCCTGGAGACCCAGCTGAGCATCCAACTGACTTTCCCACATACACGTGTGACTTCCCTGGTCACGAAGCAGGGCGTGCATGGTGAGGTTACCTCAACTTTCTGTACATTGTATCAAAACATCCACTTAAGTTCTTTAATCTGTGTCATATAAAACAACATTGGTAGTTGGGTCATGAAGTTTTACAACACTGTGATCAATACCTTGCAGAATAAGGAAAGAGGTATTTTGGTCTCATGGTTGAGAGGCTAGTGTCCAGCCTGGTGGAGAAGGCTTAGAGGCCAAAGCAGCTCAGAGGCAGAGAACATCTTTGTCACTGTCCCCAGCAACCCGCTTCTGCTTGCTAAGCTGCAGTCTCAAATGTCCTAGAACCTCCGTAAACAGTGCCACTAGCTGGGGACTAAGTATTCAAACCCATAAGATTGTATGGGCTTCACAGGACCAGTAGGTGAACCTGGAGAATTTTGCTACATGAAAAAAGCCACGGGCATCACATACTTACTATCTGATGCCATTTTTCATGCAAAGTGCAGAACAGGCGAAGCATGGGGTGCAGGGGGGGGAGTAGATGGGAGCCCTGTAGGCCACAGGGAGGGTTGGAAATAACTTCTCCTGGTACAGGGTTAGCTTGAGGACAATGAACATCTTCTGCATTTAGCACTGAAGAGCTAGTCATGCTAAAATTATGGATTTAATAGAATATTAATAGCCCATCAGTTTTTATTTTTTTTCTACCCACTCTCTTTTTCAGCAGTTGTCTTTGAGACAAGTCTCATGTATCCCAGGCTGGCCTCGAACTTGCTATGGAGGTGAGGGTGGCTTCTGATGTGCCTGCCTCTGCCTTCTCAAGTGCTGGGATTACAGGTGTCTATGACTGTGCCTGGTTTCTTGTGGTGCTGGGATAGAATGCAGGTTTTCTGTATGCCAGTCAAGGTCTCTCCTGACAGAGCTACATCTCCATGCCCTGTGTAGCAGCTTGAGAGTCAGATTGCAAAAAAGGAAGGGGGCAGAACCAACGGCCAAGGAAAAGCCAAAAAGCTTTGGAATTCCACTATCTCACTTGGCTTTCTTTCCTCTCTTAGATTTTTGGGATATGCCTGGCCCAGAATTTGGTGAGTGACATTGAAGCTGTCAGGGCTAGCTGGTAGAACCCTGCGGCCACAGCTGCAAGACACTGGACTGACCCCTCACTGACCCTCCCGTGCTGGCTGATGGCGGGCTGCAGGGACCCAGTCACGGGCCTGCAGCCCCACCTCACGGAGCTGCCAAGGACTTAACTTTCTGTGGGGGTAAAACTGGGAAATGCTGCTCACAGGACGGAACTTCTAAAAAGAAAAACAGAACAGTGTGAAAGCCACCGAGTCCCTCGATATGCCGTGACTCTCTCCTGTAGCCATGAATTGATGGACGGACGGATGGATGCTACCAGAAAGGGAAAGGGGGTGGGGTGGGCACTGCATGCACTTGAATTTGTGGAGAAGACAGTGCTGTCCACATTTTGGCTAAAACTTACCCCTCCCCCACACCCTCCCCAGGGCCAAGTGTTTTGAAATCTCTCAGCACACATTTCCAGAAACTGTTGGAACTGCCCTTTGGAGAAGCAAACAGCTGTCCTCTGTGTTCAGATGTTGAGATGGGTGGAAGGGGTCACATCCAGGATGCACACTCTGGAGAGCCCCGAAAGAAAGCCAGGTGTTTGGGTGCAGCAGGTTAGGGTAGCAGAGATTGCGGTCCGCGTTTCTGCAGGACTGATCTTTCCTCTGAGCGGCCAGCCTGAGCTTTATCAATGGCATCCAAGGAGAAAATGAGGTTAATGAGAGGCACCAACTACACACCCCCTCACCCCACCTTACCAAACTAGTGCTTGGGTTCTTCGGATACTCTGGAATACTCTGGGCTGTGTTTATGTGTTTTCTTTCTTTCTTAATTGGTTGTTATTTTGGTTCTTGTTTTCCCCCAAAGGCTAAGGCTATGATACAGTCCTGCGTAATGTTTTCTTATTCAGCTTAATAGTGAGTTTGTGTAGAACCCTGGCCTGCATGCGCTGTGACCCTGAATCCACCATGTTGTTTTCCAGAAGACGAGAGAGCCTTCGTCAGCATTTATGCCCCAGGCCCCCAGCCTCAGGTGGTTGTGGCATGTTGTCCTAGCCATGTCTTCAGATGCCCCCGTGGGCCCACTCTCCCAGCATCCAGCTCAGATTTTTTAAATTCCCTGTCTTCCTCATTGAGAGATATAAAGCCCAGTTCCAAAGCAGGGCTGACATTGTCAAAAGGCATTTAATGTCGGTGGTGGTCTTCTTCTTCTTCTTCTTCTTCTTCTTCTTCTTCTTCTTCTTCGCTCAAAAGGCATTTAATGTCGGTGGTGGTGTTCTTCTTCTTCTTCTTCTTCTTCTTCTTCTTCTTCTTCTTCTTCTTCTTCTTCTTCTTCTTCTTCTTCTTCTTTCTTCTTCTTCTTCTTCTTCCTATTCCTCTTCCTCTTCTTCTTCTTTTTCTTCTTCTTCTTCTTTCTTCCAATTTTAGTTTTCTCATATATTAAAAAAAACAAAACAAAGCTAGTTTAGTGCATGGCCAGAGCTCTGTCCTCATGAGGTGGCCTCAGGGTAATAACAAAGCACAAATACTTGAGGGCTTTACTGAGGCCCAGCCAGGGTTCTGTGACGCTAGGTGGGAAGCCACCTTCAGGTTCTCCTTCTGCCTCGTGCAAAATCCACTGAGAGGGTGTATTTTGGCCCCAGATTTTCACCCAGCTTGTGATATCCCCTCGATGTTGCTAGCATGGGGACAGATTTTAGACTGTGGGTTTCTGGGAAGACTACGGCCTCTGTGATAGCAGTTCCACATTTGCCAACTAGCTTTCTGAGTAGAGGTTTTTAGCGCAGCTTTCTGTTTGCACAGTCTGCTCAGAGGGAGGGCAGGCACTCCCTTAAGGTCCCATCTCCGCAGTTTGGGTGTGTGTGGCTCTGCATGTATGTATTTGTGTCTGTTGTAGGTAGAGATAGTCATTCCATACGTGGATGTGAGGTCATGTGACTTCACCTCTGTCCATACTGTCGTTTGTGATGTCCTTCAACACGGACACTTGTGCTCTCCGATCGGCACTCTTGTCTTCTTTATTACCTCATTCTCCAGTGAACTGCATCTGGCCAGTTGATTCGGAATCAGGCAAGATCCCCACCCTGTGGTACACCCAGTGAAAGCCAAGCCACAAGCCCAAGTGAGTTTTAAATTTTAATCACCCTTTATTTTTTACACTCGAGAGTGATTGTAATAAAAGCTGTCAGTAATAAACTTGGTTCTACCTTACCCAGGACTATGTCGTCTTACTTTTTTCAGTACTTCTCAGACATTATTGTAAAACATTCTGAAATGGCTGGTTAAAACACAAAAGGCCTGGGCCAGGGGGCTAGCTTATTTGTAGTGTGCCTGAAGCTTTGGGGTTCAATCCTCTGCCCCAACAACTGCCACCATCACCAGAATCCCTCAGGAGGCAGGTTGGGATGGGGCGCAAGGAACACTAGTGCATTCCAAAGATGCTGACGAAATCACATGTAATGCCATCAGTCCTGGGAGGGAGGGAAACGTGGTTGAAGGGGCTGCTGTCTCTCTGGGTTGCTAAATGTAGACAGACAGACAGACACACCAAGCACCCTGTTGGTAGGCGTTTTCTGTCCCAGAGTTGTCCTCTACTTGTTACAGATACCTTGGGAACCTTGTAAAACACATTTCTGACCTTGACCCTGCCACTCTGGGCTGTGTATCTTTTTTTTTTTTTTTTAAGCTTTATGAACATTTCATATACAGTGGACCTAGATAACAGTTACAGTGTTTATAAGAAAGTAATTGCCAATAGTCCCCTGAAATTGTCATCTTAACTCATGGGAAAACACCAGCTTGCCTGTCTTTCTATTGTGAATTATTACTTTTAAGAACAATTGGAAACAAAACCTCCCATTTCTAACTCTAAGAGTGGACAGAACAATGTGTTCCAAGACGTGAGAAGTGTTGTGCCTCATCCCTCTGGATATAGAAAACAAAAGCACTTTGATTTTGAGGAAATTTGTTCATGACTAAAGATGGGCAAGCCATGCCGTGTCCCTAATTATCTGATGTCACAGGGCCTGGCCATTCTCGCCATGCTCTGCCAGCGGGGAAAGATTCGAGCTACAAGGATGCCTTTTGACAAGGCTCTTAGCAGAAGTTTTTCCTTGTTCTAAGTAGATCCTAGACTTTAGGGGAAGATTACCAAATTTCTTTTTACTCCTGTTGCTTACTGGTTCTCACAAAGATTGCCTCTATAATATAAAAAATGTTCTACTCATAAAAAGAACAGTAAAAACAACAACAACAACAAACCACACATTGGAGAATACTGGAACTCCCATTTCTTTTCCCAGGGTCTAACCCCTTGGCATTTCTTTGGGCTCCCTTCCTGCCCCAGGTCCCAGGCTTCTCCCCTGCAGGACACTCTTAGAAGGGATCCTGTCCAAGTTTTTGCTTCTTTGGAAAAGCATTTGCTCACGGGGGGGCTGGTGTTTGTGTAGGCAGGAATGGAATCACTTCGCAGTTTGCGGCTCTCCCAGCGCCTGTTTCCGGCTCTCTTGGAGAAGAGCCCTGGGAAGTGGGTGGGCTGAACAATGAGGGTCGGAGCCCGGTGACCTGGCAGGCCTTCCCCAGAAAGCTGGGCTTGCTCATTCCCTTGGGAAATCTATGAAGACCTCCAAGGAAGGACTGGGAGTCTGTCCATAAACACTGGCCACTGGGGCGGGAGACAGTGACAGTGAGGTACTGCTACACTCACCAAGTAGAAACAGCAAGGATAGGGCTGAGTTATAACTTTTAGTGGAAACATGACGAGGGGCACAGCAATCGTGTTCCTGGGTTTGGGCACAAGAGGTGGGAAAGAGAAACTGAAGGTACCAAAGCCACCTTAAGTTCCCCCTTGTCATTTATTTGTTTGAGAGATTTGCTATAAAGGTAGAGCTGTTATACTGTTGTTTTTAGGAGATTCTTGATTTGAGGAATTACTCATGGCTTCCCTCTTGCTGCTCCCTTGTAAACTTGCTGGGTAGGTCTATCTGTCCCCTCCCAGTTAGCCTGAGCTAGACCCCACCTCCACTAATAGGAACGAGCGCTAAAGTAAGTGGACAGAAGAGCAGTGAACTCATGGGTATGGATTCCAGGAAGAACCAGTGCCCAGCAAGACAAGCCGCCCTGCCCATGTGGTTGCCACCTCCCTGAACCTGCACACTGATTAGAACAGAAAAGTTTTAGTGGCCTGCCCTCTAGTGTCGGCAATGGAGAACCACAGCTGGCTGGAGCTGGAGAGGGAGGTTGTTGCTATGCAAGCTCCCTTCCAGAGTTGGGAAATGGTGTGAGGCTGATGGCAGGTGCATAGAGAAGGCAGGGGCATTCCTTCATCCTCCTGAAACCCGAGGCTCATTCTGGGAACCTCAGGAACGGAGAATTTTGTTCTCATCAGTATCTGTGCACTGATCTCGCCACTGGTGTTTTATTACCTGGGTGCAGCAGGGTTGTGCAAGCCGGGTGGGAGCTGGCCCTGCCTCCTGAGCAGTTTCAGACGAAGTTTCTAGCAGCCAGTGTTCACTGTCACTGGGTGTTTACCCGGCACTCTGGAGGTGCCATGTCTTCCAGGCATGTGTCATTCTGGCGGAAGGACACAGAAGCTGCAGCCTCTCTCCCAGGGCTCAGTACCCCACCCCCAACGTAAGAGGTTTGTGTGAGGCAAGGTCCCAGGTCAACATAAACTATCCAGAACAAAGGGCAGACTTCGCTGAACTTTCTCTAAGCCCATGACGGAGGAACTGGTGGAGTTGGCTTTGATTTGAGGATTTCTAACTATTTGTTGTTTGATTTGGTTTTTGCTTCTTGGCTTAAGAAGGTTTTAACAGTAGCCCCAACAGGCCTGATACTTCTGGTTCTGTATCTTAGTCTGCCTTCAAATTTGCAGCAATTCCCCTGCATCAACCTTCCAAGAGCTGTGATGACAAACCTCATACCATCTGGCTACAACCTTGATTTTAGAGAATGTGGAAATCATGCTTATGTGCTAAGAGTTTATCACAGGTTAAACTGCATCTTTCAATATTTCACACCCTGAGAGTCTAAACAGGAACTCAGACTCTGGCCCACACAATGTAGGGAACGCTCCTGGAAGGAAGGCAGATTCAGGTAGTAGTGTGTCCACAGTATGAGGAGAGCCAAACTTGACAGCAGCTACCAGAAACTGGGAGGGGCAAGGAACAAGTGGTTCTAGCTTCTGGAACTCCTAGGGAACAAATGGCCTGCGTTTTTCCGATGGGGTCACAAAGGTGTAGGGAACGCTCCTGGAAGGAAGGCAGATTCAGGTAGTGTGTTCACAGTACGAGGAGAGCCAAACTTGACAGCAGCTACCAGAAACTGGGAGGGGCAAGGAACAAGTGGTTCTAGCTTCTGGAACTCCTAGGGAACAAATAGCCTGCGTTTTTCCGATGGGGTCAGAAAGAGCACATTGCCTGTTGCTTGTAGGCTCGAAGGGGCCTGCTGCATGCTAGATGCTTTCCCTGGCAGCAGGAATGCCCGTGTTGTTCTCATCTGTTGAGTGGAAACTTCTGAACATGGTGGTGCATACATGATGTCCATCTGCTTTACGCTCCTGTAAAGTCCTGTGCTTTCTGGTTTTAAGATAGGGTCTCAGTATATACCTGGAGCTAGCCTTAGGCTTGCTGTGTTAATTTAGGCTGCTTGGAACTCATTCCTCCTGCTACGGCCTCCCAAGTGCTAGAATTCCTGCTATGCACCACTATGCCATCTTTTATGGGGTACTTTAAATAAAGGATGCGTTATTATATTTAAGGTTATGATGGTGCATTTTGTATTTATTTGAAGCAAATTCTCTTAAATGCCACCTGCTGTGATGATTAAAATCACATAAATAAAATGATCTGTGCCTTTTGTAGTCCCTCGTGTTGTTACTGACTCTCAATTGCAAGCAGCTGCTGGTATGAACAACTCATCTGTCCCTTGAACCAACAGCACACATTCTCACACAGTTACGAAAGTATACTCTATTCCAGGCACTGCCACAAGCTCTCAGGTAAGTTTCAGAGGTGGGAACCAGAGTGGAATCTCCACAGGCTGAGGGTCTAGACTTGTTCAGAGCTAACCTTCTATCTTTCCAGGGAAGAATAGACTTCAAGGATTCAAGAGGGTAAAGGTTGAAGTGATAAGTGCTGGGCTCCGGGGATGCTTAATCATTGTGGAGCTGTGATTTCCAGAGTAAGGTTAGGCGTGGACCATGGAGGGGTTGTGGGGCATTTGGCAAAGGAAGGTAA